ATCATATGCTCTGAGTGTTCATCAGCTCAGCACTTCTACAAAGACTGCCGTAGCACCACAAAAAAGTGTGTCGTCTGTGTGGGTGGTCACAGACCTTCTCTGCCACCTGCCTGGTCAGGAAACAGGTAACTCAAGAAACAGTGAAGAAACTGACCGAAATGACCAAACAAAAAGAAACCAGGGAAATTTCTAACACCATAGAAAGGACCACTCAGTCGACGATCATGGCTTAAGCCAAACCCTAAAAGACGCTCTGAAAGAAACTCAAGCAGACTCCCAAAAACTCAACAATGTCAGCTAGACCATGGAAGTCCTGCAATCAGAGATAAGAACCACCAAGGACTCAATAAGGCAGGCAGTTACTGAGTCACTGGGCGCCATGAGGGACGCAGTGGCCGAGAGCATCAGGAGCGTCTCCTCTCCACAACTGGACGAGTCCAAAGCCACCACTATATACTTGTCTTACCTACATGCCCATCACATGAACATGGTTCATCCAGGTTCATTCTCGAATCACCTCAACGAGACACTAACCAGGAACAACATTGCACCTGTTGAAATAAGCGACAAAGTCCCTTCAAAAGAAATCCTGAAGGCAGTAACCCACTCAACGACTTATCGACGACCTCAGCCCACTCCAGAAATAGACCATGACCTGCCTGACTTAGACAAAAGTCAGTATAACCGTAGTCCCGACGTGGCCAGTCAGTCCTCCTGGGATCACAGCTCCAACTACACCGTAAATCTCCGTGACCCCAATACATGTACTCCCAGCGACGACAGTGACCATCGGACTGCAACTACAGTCAATGGTTGCAACCAGATGATAGCGACTTACTCCACAGACGAACAAGACCCTCGAGCTGAAGCATCAGTTGATTACTTCGACACGCAGGCCCAGGACCTGAACACCTTCCTGTATATGGGTGACGAGAAGTTCGAAGGCCCGCCATTAACTGACAAGCAGATGTCCGAAGGCTCTGCTAAGAAGATCCGTCCCCTTAGAAATGGCAGAAGCCGAGCAAACACTTCAAGCGACGCCCCAAGCTACAGTCTCCGAAATGGCAGTCTTTAGCAGGATGAAAATTGTCCAACATAATGTCCTATACTGGTCCCTTAATAGACGTAACGAACTGTCTAACTTATACTGTCAATTAGACCCAGACATCATTCTGTTAAACAGTACTGGCATAAAGGACGAAAGTAAGCTTAAAATTTTTGGTTACACTGTATACCAGAGGAACATGACAGGTGAGCTGAACGATGGTGTCGCTGTGGCCATCAGGTCACGGCTGAGTCACAGAGTGTTGCCAGACTTCGAGGATTCAGTTCTGGGCGTGCAGGTGGAGACAACTAGGGGACCTGTTATCATATGCGCAATGTACTTACCTCCCAGACGTCCTTACTTGCCCGAACAAGACCTCAACCAGTTGCTACGCCACAGAAAACCAACATACATCATAGGGGACTTAAATGCCCGCCACGCCATACTCGGACACGGTAATGAGAACAACGTCGGTGTGGTGATGTATGACAACATCAGAAGAGGAAAACTGCAACACCTCGGGCCAGATTTCCCGACATTGATCAGACGTGCCAGTGCCACAACACCCGACATAATCCTCTCTAACAACGAGGCCGTCCTGAACAGGCACGTTACCGCCGGTCCCATCAGTACCAGCGATCACCTGCCAGTCGTCGTGATGCTCTCATCCAATCCCATTATGATCCCCGCCAACATCAGGTCAAACCTCAATCGGTCAGACTAGGACTCCTTCAAGAAGTCTCTCAGTCTCAAGTAGGGGAGAAACCTGGAAGAAGTCAGCCTCAATGACATCGACGACGCGGTCGAACAATGGTACACGGATGTGAAGACGGAGATGGACAACAACATACCGACCTCCACTCACAGGACCATTTCCCATCCTCACACTAGTCACCAGCTGAGGCAGCTCAGTGTCCAGTACGATCACGTGAGATAGCTAGCCAGTATCAGCGGGTGGACGCAAGAGCTACAGACGGACATCCAGCACGAGAGCAAACGTCTACATGAATATAGGTGGGCCGCCTTGGTGTGGGAGGCAGCCAACAATTACCGCGATTCTGCTGCATTCTGGAAAGGTATCAAGTGACTGATGGGTTCCACCTCTAGCACGGTCCTTTACCTGCTCGACCAAAACAACGTAAAAATATTCGTGGAGGAAAACCAAGAACAAATACATCAGCGATATTTACGGAAGATCTTTACCATTAGTGAACAGGAGAACGAGGGCTTCGACAGGGAGTTTGAGGAGGACTTTTTAGGTCAGTTGCAGGACCATCAGCACCTGCTCCAGCCGCTCCCACGGGCTGACTTCACTAAACTGGTGGACGGAAGCTACCTGACGTCATAAAAGGGTTTAAAAACAAATCACCTGGGCAAAGTCACATTAAGAAAAAGATCCTGGCTCAACTCCCCGACAACATGATAGAGAGGCTTGCTCATGTATGCAACGCCTGCCTCGCCTCTGGATACTTCCCTAAGATGTTCAAAATCGCCGTTATTCGCCTCATACCAAAAGCAGGGAAGTCTCCAAACAAAGTCGAAAACTTTTGACCACTATCGCTACTAGAAGTACCTGCCAAAATTTTCGAAAAAATAGTCAACAAGCGATTGCGGATGTATCTGGAAGACGAAGACGTGCATAATCCCAGCCAGTTCGGCTTCCGCCAATACCGAGGCACATCCACAGCTATAGCTCAGGCCTACGAGCAGATCGCCAATGCCATGACTGGCCGCCTGCAGTGCAACATAGTACTGAGGGACGTCAGCAAGGCGTTTGACAAAGTCTGGCACGTGGGGCTGCAGTATAAGATCATACAACTGAGGCTACCCGAAAACCTGACGAGCCTGCTGTGCAACTTCATTACGGACCGCAGAACCAAAATCAAGATGCAAGAACATTTTGGAGAAGAATTCTCACTCTCGAGTGGCGTGCCTCAGGGCTCTTGTCTTTCACCAACCCTTTACACGCTCTACACGGCTGACCTGCCACCCCCCAATCGTCGGCAGCGAGTACGTCATGTATGCTGACGATGTAACACAGATCGTCACCTGCCCAGGAAGGTCCACGGCAAGGATGGCGCGACTCACTGCTCGGGCAATAGAGGGTGTCTGGGAGTATAAAAATAAATGGAAAATAAAAACAAACAAAATAAAATTCGAGGTCATACCCATAACCAAATTCAAGCCGGCGCCATTGATGATCGACGATAAGGATATTGAGTACTCTAAACAAGGCAGGCTGCTCGGCCTCATCATCTCTCGGACGGGCATCATTTCTCATGTGAAGGACAGACTAAATAAAGGCAAAGTCGCTGCAGCTAAATTAAATCGTTTTAAACTGATGCCTGAGAAGATACAAGTTTACCTGTACAAGGCGCTGGTGAGGCCTGTGTTGGAGTACCCACATATACCACTCGTCACACTCGGGAAGACTAAACTACAACAACTACAGAGCTTCCAAAACAAGTGTTTGAGATCAGCCAGTGGCCAAGCGCCACCCTACCAGGAGACAGTGGAAACCATCCACCTAAGAAATAAAACAGAGGCTCTCAACTTCAGGTTCCATCGCCTAGGGAAGAAGGTTTGGGACAAACTCCTGGACGACCCTCACAGCCCAGACCTCCTACGCGGGGAAGACATCAACGGAGGGCGACCCCACGCCTGGTGGCCCCGGAGTCTGTCCGCACTACAACAACCCAACCCGCGACCCATCTATGTCTGCCACAGTGATCCACCTTAGATTAAAACTTAGATGATTTAAGTTCACATTTAACAAGTCACAATCTAGATTCTAGTGAGTCCATAACGTAATACAGTATAAGATTTTAATAAACTTGTAATTGTAAAATCAATCTAGTCATTGTCTACTGAAGTAACCATTGTTCAACCTCATCCTAAATCCTAGGTTAGCTTAGGTAGCCAACAAACTCTGTAATATGTAAAGCAAGGGGTGTCGTCCCCCTCTGTTTAACTCATTAAACATCTTTTCCAACCTTTCCCCTCACGTCTATATGTTGTGACTTCTCTATCCCTCATGTCTGGCTGTGCCTTGAGCCCCAGCATGCCTTCCATCCATTCCTCACCTTAACCTAAAAAAAAAGAAAAAAAAATGGAAGCGGGTGTAAGGGTGGAGGGTGAATGGAAAGGGGTGGGGTGAAGGGAAAGGGGTAGATGACGAAGTATTGTACCACAGCATGTCAGTGATAATTGATTGCACAAGTTGATGCTAATTTTACCTTCCATACATGTGCGTTGCGTTTTTTTAAATTTGTACCAAAGAGCATCTCTTGCCTGATGGATGAGTAAGCAAGTATATATTTAATTTCAGATTCTTCAGTGATGTCCAGCAAGCGGGTGTACAGAGAAGAATTCCTTGACATTGGGTTCACGCTTCTCATCGATCATGGGGTCAAAAAACCTCAATGCGTTATATGTGGCGAAGTGCTCAGCCACGAGTAACTCAAAGAAAACAGGCTTAGGCGCCATCTCCAGGGAAAACATCCGACGCTGGCAGAGAAAGGCCGCCAGTATTTTAAGAGCAACTGAAGCGTCAGCGGTTAGACACCCCTATGAACACAACAGTGTTTTATGTTCGGCAAGCAACAATTGCATCCTATCTGGTTGCAAAAAGAATTGCTAAGTGTAAACAGCCACACACAAATGGGGAAAATTTGGTGAAACTAGCAGTCCTTGATATGGTTCGCACTGTTATCGGAGATGATGCAGTGAAAAAGACTGAAACTATTCCACTGTCAAACAACACACTCAGCCGAAGGATTCAAGAAATGTCGGCATACATCAAAGAACAAGTAGTGACTGCCATCAAAGAGAGCGGAAAATTCAGCTTGCAGTTGGATGAGTCAACTGACGTCAGTGACGATGCACAGCTCTTGGTATATGCACGGTACCAAGGGAAGAGCGACATGGAAGAGAACTTCCTGTTCTGTAAACGACTGGAGACGACAACAACAGGTGAGGATCTGTTCAAGTTGGTTGACAACTTCATCAAGGAAGAAAACCTAAGCGGGATCAGTGTTTCAGTGTGTGCTCAGACGGAGCACCGGCAATGCTAGGGACAGTGATAGTGGTTCATTGTCTGCGCCACCGGGAAAACCTTGCCTCCCGGAAACTGTCACATGAGCTTAAGTCTGTGATGGAAGATGTGATTCAAATAGTAAACATTATTAAATCATCAGCTCTGAATTCAAGGCTGTTCAACCAGATGTGCTCTGATATGGGGTCGGAGTATTAACACCTGCTTTACTACTCTGCCGTCAGGTGGCTGTCTCGAGGGAAAGTGCTCCAGAGAGTGTTTGAAATGCGTACACAGGTTGAAATATTCTTGAACGAGAAGAAACACGCACTAGCATCAAGGCTTTCGGAACCAAGGTGGTTGCTTCAGCTGGCATATCTGGCAGATATATTCTCTGAGTTGAATTTGCTGAACATGTCCATGCAAGGAAGGGATGAAACTTATGTCACTTTGTCAGAAAAACTCAAGGCATTCAAGGCGAAACTGAGATTGTGGAAGGGAAAGATTGAACAGGGGAATGCTGCGTCTTTTCCACTCTTGAACCTTTTTCTCAAAGATAAAGAAGACGTCTCACTTCTGGACGTACAAAATATCATTGTTGAGCATCTTGAGAAGTTGAGTGATGAGTTCGACAGATATATTCCGGATGAAGAATTACACGAGAAATACAAATGGGTGCGCAGACCCTTCGATGTCCAAGTCGAAGACCTCTCAGAAGAAGAGTCTTCCATTCTAAGTCTCCAAGAGGAGCTCATCGAAGTACAACATGATGAAACTCTCCTCTTCAACTTTCAGCGACAGTCACTCGGCGTGTTCTGGACTGCTGTTAAGAAGGAGAAACCAGTCCTTGGAAGCGAAGCTGTGAAAGTGCTCTTGCCATTCGCTACTACTTATTTGTGCGAATCCGGGTTTTCCGCTCTGGCTCTCATCAAAACAAACAGCAGGAATCGGTTGCAACCTGAACACGATTTGAGAGTAGCACTTTCCACGACTGAGCCCCGACTGGAGAAACTTACCAGCCAGATCCAGGCTCAAGGCTCCCATTAGATGAGATTATCCAACTCTGATTTCGAAGTTGATGAGAGACATTTTCATGTTTAGTTATTCTTTGTGGGATGTAACAAAACAATAGTATTTCATCTCAACATTGAAGTACATGTTTCGTTAAGATTAAGCCTTCTGTATAGTTTGTTTAAATGCGTATTACATTAATGAAAAATTATTATCTTGTATACTAAAATAAAATTGAACCATGTTATTTTTGTTTTTTTAGCATCCTTACAGTACCTTTTTTTTTACACTGTCAATTCGTTAAATAATAGGTATGTATAGTTATACCCCACACCCAGGAATAATATATATATATATATATATATATATATATATATATATATATATATATATATATATATATATATATATATATATATATATATATATATATATATATATATGTAATATTCAGAAATTTCAGAGTACTGTAATTTCAAATGCCCCGCCATTAGCGATACTGAGCGTTCAAGGTCATCTGAGGGGAGAGAGCGCTGCCTGCTCATAGCGAGAGATTGCGGAACTAGGCCTATATGATATTAAATGTAATTTACCGAATTAATAATGATGCGATTCATGAAGTAAGGGCCTATTATTGAATTTGAAATTATTATAGATCGTTTATCAGTCTGAATAATGTTACGGGTGTCCCAAGGAGTTATTAGTTAGGCGGAAAAAATGTCACGTAGGCCTAAGCTAACGCCCTGAGAGGACGCGACGCTGGCTGGTTCTCAGTCGTGGGGAAAATTCATACAAAACAAGACGTCCCTGCGCGTCTGTCACAGAAATAGTCACGTGGCCCAGTCACCTGTGTTGCGCTATTGCCGTATAACAAGTAAGTCTCATGCGATCTCAGACAGGGTTAGATAGGGCAGTGGTAAAGTAAACTAGAGCTAACAGTGAGTTCATTTCAGGGTTTCCGTCAGAACCCACTTGACTGGAGTTGACCGGAGTTGACCAGAGTTTGACTGCGAGAGATTGACTGCCGTTTGAGACTGCCGTTGATGATTGAGGGTGGCGATTGTCGCCATTGGACCGATCAGAGTAGGCCTGTCACTGTTTAGCGGGGTACCAAAGGATCTCTTTAGAGAATCTAGCCGTCTGGGTGCCCAGCTGACGTCGGGACGATCGTGGGTCAGCAACTCTCCTCTCCCTCGGCCCACAACACCACATGTCCCGAGCAGCTTAGTGAAACCCTCTTGCTAACGGGAAGCTAAAGCTTCTCTCAACTGTACAAGGTCTGATTGGCTTTATGGATGCACTGGGAGTACACTGAGGCTATCTGAGTAAATTAATGGTCACACACTGAGACCGTGAGTCTAGGTCTCTAGGAGATACCTAGAGGAACATTTTCCCTCCCTTATTACGGGTGTAGTTTAATAGTTCCTAAATAATTTTGATAGTATTGTTTTTGAATGTTTGTGTCATTAAGTGGAACCAGAGTGATACTGTGATTTGATTCTTTTAATGCATCTAATTTTTCTTCATAATTCTGATCTCAGGTATAACCTTGTTCCCCAGAGTAGTGGTTAAGTTAGGTTAGGAAGTGTGCATCTGTTGGGGTGCTATTATTTTGTTGAAAGCCCTTAAGGCCTATTCATTGTAGAGTATTTAATTTCTTAATTTTTATTACCATTTCCTCAGTGACTGATATTATTATGTTGAAAGCCCTAAGGCCAATTCATTGTAGGGTATTTAATTTCTTATTATTTATACCATTTCCTAAGTGACTGATATTATTTTGTGAAAGCCCTTAAGGCCTGTTTCATGTGTGCAAGCAACATTTCTTAATACTTCAAATTTATTGTTGCCTGAGTTTCTAACAATTTCTATATCATGTATAACTTTTATTCCTCAGAGTAGAGTTTTAAGTTTAAGTTAAGAGGTGCGCATATTGGTGTACCATTATTTGATTGTGTTTGTAGTGTTGGAGGGAATATAAGTGTCTAAATTTTACAGTGTGTCTCATTCATCCCAGTCACAGATGCTATCCTTCCACGGGTCACGGACAATTCATTTTGTTTAGTAGATTTAAGTGTTCTTGTGCTGGTTCGGGATTTTTCTCAAAGGGGCACTTCCACTGCCATTACCATCTATTAATTTTTAATAAACCCCAAGTCAAGTGAGAAATTAAAGTCCAGTAAATTCCGACCGGTTACAAATGGTAGCAGAGCGTAGTTTTTAATGTCGTGACTGATAGTACTGTGGTTGGGATAATGAACGCCATCATGTGTTGGTTAGTAATGGTAGGGATTGAACTCGCACTGATGCTCATCCTTGTGCCCGGACTGAGTTGGTTAGGCTTGACAGTAGAGATGTGTATGAGGAGGAAGAGAGACGGCCGCGGGACCTTGGTACAGCTGAGAGAGGAGTTCGGAGACCTAAAGAGGGATTATCAAGCACAGGTAAACAGGTTCAAGTGGGAGTCTCAGGCACACATTCAACGGTTCAGGGAGGAAACAAGGGGTGAATGTCAGGCACACGTCCAGCAGTCAAGGAAGTGTGAGGTCCAAGTGGGAAATATAGGGGTACGTAAGTAGTTCAGAGAGGTTGATCGAGCCCTCCAGCTGAGAGACAAGACGAAGCCGGCCGATTACAGTTTAGGGTGCATGGTAATGAGAAAAGGCAGGTTGTAGGGGGTGAGTTGGAGGAGTTGTGAGTAGGGCAGAGGGGATTGGAGAGATGGTTAGGTCAGAGATGTGCGTTGAGTAGTGGTTGCTGTCATGAGCGGGATTGAGTTGCTGTCATGAGCGGGATTGAGTTGCTGTCATGAGCGGGATTGAGAGTACGGTTGTAATGTCCAGGGCCTCACTAATATGGACTGGTACATTGTCAGAGGGTTGGTCTGCCGGCATGAGGTTCGGAGACGTGGACTGAGTATTTTTTTGACACTGGTTCCTCTTAGCTCAAGGGCCAGGCAAAAGGAGAGCATGTTTGTTTTGGACTGTGTATTGTTTTTGACACTGGTTCCTCTTAGCTCAAGGGCCAGGCAAAAGGAGAGCATGTTTGTTTTGGACTGAGTATTGTTTTGACACTGGTTCCTCTTAGTTCAAGGGCCAGGCCAAAGGAGAGCATGTTTGAGTTGGACTGAGTATTGTTTCGACATTGGTTCCTCCTAGTGCAAGTGCCAGGCAAAGGAGAGCATGTTTGTTTTGGATTGTGTATTGTTTTGACACTGGTTCCTCTTAGTTCAAGGGCCAGGCAAAGGAGAGCATGTTTGTTTTGGACTGAGTATTTTTTTGACACTGGTTCCTCTTAGTTCAAGGGCCAGGCAAAGGAGAGCATGTTTGAGATGGACTGAGTATTTTTTTGACACTGGTTCCTCTTAGTTCAAGGGCCAGGCCAAAGGAGAGCATGTTTGTTTTGGGCTGGTATTAATTTTGACATTGGTTCTCTAGTTAAGGGCCAGGCAAAAGGGGAGCGTGATGTTCTGGTTGGTTTGAGTTGGGCTAGGAAGAAATGGAGTTGCTAGCTGCGAGTGGAATAGTACAGAGTTGAAGGTGGGTTCTAAGTTGTTCTCTCAGCACATGAGGGCAGTGCTGTTTTCTTTTAGGGGGGTCGAGTGTTAGCGGGAGAGAAAAGGAGAGAAGAGAAGACGGGAATGCTGCGTTTAGCAAAAGGGGTAAGATGCAGTTTCTTAGAACAAATTTTTAGGGGGGTCGTATGTATGTTCTCTCAGCACATGAGGGCAGTGCTGTTTTCTTTTAGGGGGGTCGAGTGTTAGCGGGAGAGAAAAGGAGAGAAGAGAAGACAAATACTGCATTTAGCACGTTAAAGGGGTGAGATGCAGTCCTTAGAACAAATTTTTAGGGGGGTCGTATGTATGGTTTTCTCAGCACATGAGGACAGTGCTGTCTTTTTTTAGGGGGGTCGATTGTAATATTCAGAAATTTCAGAGTAATTTCAAATGCCCCGCCATTAGCGATACTGAGCGTTCAAGGTCATCTGAGGGGAGAGAGCGCTGCCTGCTCATAGCGAGAGATTGCAGAACTAGGCCTATATGATATTAAATGTAATTTACCGAATTAATAATGATGCGATTCATGAAGTAAGGGACTATTATTGAATTTGAAATTATTATAGATCGTTTATCAGTCTGAATAATGTTAAGGGTGTCCCAAGGAGTTATTAGTTAGGTGGAAAATATGTCACGTAGGCCTAAGCTAACGCCTTGAGAGGACGCGACGCTGGCTGGTTCTCAGTCGCGGGGAGGATTCATACAAAACAAGACGTCCCTGCGCGTCCGTCACAGAAATAGTCACGTGGCCTAGTCACCTGTGTTGCGCTATTGCCGTATAACAAGTAAGTCTCATGAGATCTCAGACAGGGTTAGATAGGGCAGTGGTAAAGTAAACTAGAGCTAACAGTGAGTTCATTTCAGGGTTTCCGTCAGAACCCACTTGACTGGAGTTGACTGGAGTTGACTGGAGTTGACTGGAGTAGACCGGAGTTGACCGGAGTTTGACTGCGAGAGATTGACTGCCGTTTGAGACTGCCGTTGATGATTGAGGGTGGCGATTGTCGCCATTGGACCGATCAGAGTAGGCCTGTCACTGTTTAGCGGGGTACCAAAGGATCTCTTGAGGGAATCTAGCCGTCCGGGTGCCCAGCTGACGTCGGCTCACAACACCACATGTCCCGAGCCGCTTAGTGAAACCCTCTTGCTAACGGGAAGCTAAAGCTCCTCTCAACTGCACAAGGTCTGATTGGCTCACTCTCTTCCTGCCCATGGATGCACTGGGAGTACACCGAGGCTATCTGAGTATATTAATGGTCACACACTGAGACCGTGAGTCTAGGACTCTAGGAGATACCTAGAGGAACATTTTATCTTCCTTATTACGGGTGTAGTTAACACCATTCCTCAGACTGATATTATCTTGACGTGTGTAGTTAAATAGTCCTAAATAATTTTGATAGTATTGTTTTTGAATGTTTGTGCCATTAAGTGGAACCAGAGTGATGCTGTGATTTGATTCTTTTAATGCATCTAATTG